ACAGCTGGTGTGTCAGGTATGGAGACGTAGTGTCCTCTAAGAAGGAATAGGATAGGTTGGTAGGTGTGTACTGAGATGAAAAAGGAAAAGAGGTCTCGTCAAACGTAACATGACGAGAGATGATAATTTTGTTGGAGCTGAGATCAAGGCATTTGTATCCCCGGTGGTTGGAGGGGAAACCAAGAAAGACACAGGGGGTGGAGCGGGCTTGTAATTTGTGAATGGTGGGAGATGGTATATTGGGATAGCATAAGCACCCGAAAACTTGTATGTGGGAGTAAAACGGGACTTTGCCAAAAAGAGCTTGAGTGGGGGAAATAAAGGATAACATTTTCGAGGGGAGTATGTTATGTAGATATGTGGCCATTTGGACGGCGTGAGTCCAGAGTTTTGGGGGTATAGTGGCGTGAAGTAAGAGGGTGCGAGCGATGTTGTTTATGGATCAGATTTTGCGCTCGGCTTTCCTATTTTGAGCAGAGGTGTAGGGGCAAGAAAAACGAAACTGCATGCCATGAGTTGTGCATAGATTTTTGAATGGAGTGTTATCATATCCTTTTCCATTATCACAATGGAAAGTTTTAATTTCTCGTTCAAACCGTGTACGAATATAATTGCGGAAGGTGAGAAAACACGAGAACACTTAGGACTTGTGTTGAAGAGGGTAAGTCCACAAGAAATTAGTAAAATCATCCAGAAATAAAATATAATACCGGTGACCAGATGGACTTAGAACATAGAACAGGAGACGTCCAAATGTCACTATGTATAATATCAAAAGGCATGACAATAGAAGTATGTGAAGGATAAAATGGCAATTTTATATGTTTGCCAAGTTAGCATGACTGACAAACCGAAGTACATGCTTTATTACGGGGAATAAAATTATTTGTTCGAAGATATCCAAAGACTGGTTTGCCTGAGTGCCCAAGACGATTGTGCCAGACATTGGAGGACGTGGCGACAAAGGCGGAGGGTGAGGAAGACGGGGAGGGTGAGGTCGGAAGGATCGGGTAGAGACCCCGGTGCTATCACATCTCATAATTTGGGTACCCGTTCGAAGGTCCTTCATAGAAAAACCAAGAGGGTCAAATTCAATAAAGACAGCATTATCAACAGCAAATTGACGAACAAAAATTAAATTTTTAATGAGATTCGGTGCATGGAGGACGTTTCGGAGTTGGAGAAGGGGGTAAGGGACGGGGTAGGTTAGTTTGGCCACAACCCGAAATAGGAATGACGTTGCCATTGCCGACAATGATGTTGTGTTTAGTACTCAAATTAAAATAAGGCGAGAGAGTACCTGAGCTGGATGTTATGTGAGCTGTTGCGCCTGTGTCCATGTACCAGTTTTCATCCGGGGGGTTGATGGACATGGTGTGCATTGCCGCATTGATGTCAGTTGGGGCGTAACCCGGTGTGACCTCGTTAAAGGCGCCGAATGCCTGCTGTGGGCGTGGTCCAAGGATGCCCGCTGAAGGTGTGCGTTGCTGGGCGGGCTTGCCTGCCACTGCCCCAATTTGCTGTCGGAGCTAGGGCATGGCGGGACGGCCATGCTGAGCGCACTCATGCTCCGCACGGTTGGAGAGTCCGACACACAGGACCGCACGAGAGGCCGCAAATGTTGCGGCCGGAGGGATGATGATTGCCAAGTAAGATTGCGACTGCGACTTCGGTTTTCGTTATTTCGACCTCTCGGTAGCAGATCTCACCGAATACCACAGCCTTGCCGGAGCTCTACAGTATCTCACTATCACCTGCCCGGATATCTCATATGTCGTTCAGCAAGTTTGTCTATTTATGCATGATCCTCGGAAAGTTCACATGCAGGCTCTCAAGCGCATTCTGCGCTACATAAAAGGAACCTTAAATCTGGGCATGCATCTTTATCCATCACCCGTCACTTCTTTGGTGTCCTATTCAGATGTTGATTGGGGCGGATGCCCCGACACGCGTCGGTCGACTTCTGGATATTGTGTTTTTCTTGGCGACAACCTTATTTCCTGGTCCTCCAAACGACAACCGACGATATCCCGATCCAGTGCAGAAGCCGAATACAGGGCCGTGGCTAATGTTGTTGTCGAAACTAGTTTATTGTGACAATATCAGTGCTGTTTATCTGTCTGGCAACCCGGTGCAACATCAACGATCGAAACACATTGAGATGGACATCCACTTTGTCCGGGAGAAAGTCGCCCTCAGCCAGATCAAGGTTCTCCACGTCCCATTTCGCCATCAGTATGCCGATATATTCACAAAAGGTCTCCCGCGCCTTTTGTTTGATGAATTTCGACCCAATCTCAACGTCCGGCCTCCTCCCGCTTCGACTGAGGGGGCGTGTTAGAATATAGAATATATTCTTAGCATTTATTGTCATAATATCTAATTGATTGTTAGAATATAGAATATATTCTTAGTATAATATCTAATTGATATTTACCTTGTATAGATTTCCTCATATGGTTAGTGTAGGAGTTTCCTTTTGTAACTCTTACCTCTTTTGCTTTTGTAAATCCCTATATATTATGAGTAATGAAACACTAAAGATTCACGGCAAATATTAGCTTCTATCTGAAAGGACTAATCGTTCTCTTGAACCCTCCCCCACCCCAAAAAAATAAATAAATAAATAAATAAATAAATAAGAAGAAGAAGAAGAAGAAGAAGAAGAAGAAGAAAAGACTACTTTGTTATTGTATCATCAAGAGAGTTGCAATTAAAAAAAATTCCTTACTAATTCTGACTACACAACACGATAAAACCCTAGATCGAGGATCAAACAACCCCAAATAGAACAGATCGAGCTCGATCAAACTCCAGAAAGAAACCGATACCTGGCTCCTCCGCGAGGAACGAGTCGGCGCCGCGATGTTGATCGCCGATCCGGTGACGGACGCCATTGACGGACTCGGAGAACTCGGTTGAGAGAGAGAAGAAATAGAGACAGAGCGGGGTGGGGTGGGGTGGGGGGGCACTTAAATAACTTCGAACGTTTTGCGAATCACTAGGAGCCGCGACCGTTGACTTTTTGGGGATTTTTTCTGGGCGCGGAGAAAGCTGGTGAGGTTTGAAGAGTCGTTCTTTGTATGTACCTACCGACGAAGTTGTTGGACCAAGAAAAATTGGTCCTCGAGAGGTTAATTGTTTTTTTTTCCACCCGTCATAGTTGAAAATGTTTTAGGAGAAAGAAAAAAAAATAGTGCTAATAAGTTCAAATTTTAAATGATATTAATGGATATGTCATTGTATATGCTCGCTTGTATTTAATTGGATATAAGATTTTGTTCATTGACATTTTTAATCGTTTGATTGATGGACTTGATAGATCGAATCTAAAGACTCTACCCCTCCCTTGCCTACACGATGTCAGCTCATCTAGAGCTAATATATGTTTAGGTGATTAAATCTGAATGCAGTTTATATATAATGATAGGGCACTTACCCTATTTTTACTTCAAAAAAAAAAAAAACCTAGGAGTCTATCACAAGAATTGCTATTTTGAATGCTGTTTATATATAAGGTGCCGTGTGCATGTGCTCTGAAATTTGGTTTATTTTGGGCGTGTTAAGTGTAATGTTTCGGTACCAAAACTTTATGTATTGTAATTTTCCATGCTTTTCATGTGCACCAATTTTGTAGATTGTATGTTATAGGTGCTTGAATTTATGATACAAGTCGCTAATGATTGTCATGTGAACGAATATTTTTTGGGAAAAATGTGTCCAAGCCCCAAAAACAGAAACTTCATGTGCTACAGCCCCTCTTAGTTTCCCCTATGTGATTCAGCCCATTAAAGTGTGACACTTTGTACTGCAGTCCCTTTTTAGCAATTATTACATGTCAGCTAAGCTAAAATCCTCAAAATAACCTTATCCCCTCTCTTCAATCCCTCAAACCCAGCTCTCTCTCTCTCCCCCTCTCCCTCTCTCTCTCTCCCTCTTCTCTCTCTCTCTAAAACCAAGGGCTTTCTCAAGCTCGTCGCCCTAGCCCTCGCCATCGTCATCGCCGCCTCCGCCCAGGCCCCTAAGCCTCGCCCTCGAGTTTGTTGCAACGGGCTTGTTATGTTTGTTGGATATGAGAGGAAAATCATGGAGTTTAATTAAGTATTCAGTTTATTTGTTTCTCATGTGTGACTTAGCCTTGTGTCAGAAAAGCAATGGCTCACGGAAGTCTTGTGATTTACATAAATCAAAATTGTATTTTTATGTTGAGGCTCGTGGACGTAATGGCGGGTTTTGAAGTCAAAGAAGAAAGTGAATGACATGGCTAGTTTTGACTTCAATTCTAACGAGACTTTTAATGTCTTCTTTATTTTTTTACTTGTGACTCCCCTCTATTGATGAACCAACAATACCCTCAATTTCTTTTTTTTTTCTAATCGGGAAAAATAATCATGTCTTGATCTTATATCCGAAATCTTAGTTCTTGAGCTCTTGGGCTCTCAAGTTAGTTCTAACTTGTACCATGTTAGTTTTAACCCGCCTCATGTTAGTTCTAGCCCGCCCCATATTAGTTCTAGCCCCATGTTAGTTCTAGCCCGTCCCATATTAGTTCTAGCTAGTTGGGGCAAGTTAGAACTAACAATATTCGAAGCGATATAACGAGAGGAGAAAATGAGCCCAAATGAAAGGAAGATACCGTGTGATAGATAATATAAAGGGCTACACACCGGCGAAGACGGTGGTGAAAACGGAGACCGGAGGTGGCTGTGATAGATAATATAAAGGGCTACACACCGGCGAAGACGGTGGTGAAAACGGAGACCGGAGGTGGCCGAAAAGGCGCGCGAAGTCGGCATGGCGCTGCTGTTTTCTGCTCGCTGCTGCCGTCGAGCGATGTTTTGGACGTTACCGAGAGAGATAGAGAATGAGTTAGAGCGTGATACAAATTGGAGGTGATAGACAACATGTAGGGATACTCACCGAAGAAGAAATATACGGAAACGGAGATTAGAGGTGATCGAAAAGTGTGTGCAAAGTCGGCACAAAACTACAGTTTCTGCAGTGCAATTTCTCACTGTTCAGGTTTGTTCTTCACTATTCGGAGCTTTTCACCACTGTCCGGGCTTGTCGGAGGTAGGAGGAGGTTTCCGGGGTCGTCGGGGTGTCTCGATGGGCTCTGTCGGAGGTGGGAGGAATTTTTCTCCGTTCCCAAGAGTCTAGAACTAAGATAAATTAGAGCTAGAACTAGCTAGAGCTAACATGGAGCGGGCTAGAACTAACATGGGACGGGTTAGAACTAACATGGGGTAAGTTAGAACTAACTTGAGAGTCCAAGAGCCTAGAACTAAGATGAATTAGATCTAGAATTAGCTAGAACTAACATGAGACGAGCTAGAACTAACATGACATAAGTTAGAACTAAAATGACATAAACTGGTCATTTACTATCTGATGCCGTTCGAATCTGGAAAAGCTCAAAACACCAAAGTTGTAGGTCTCTTCAACGGCTTTCCAACAAATCTTAAATTACCTCATTCCGAGTTCGGATGGAGAAATTATAGCAAAAATAATAATGTAAACTAACATGACACAAACTGTATGTAAGATCTGAAAAAGTCTAAAAGACCAAAGTTGTAGGTCTCTTCAACAGCTTTCTAACACAAACTGTATGTAAGATCTGAAAAAGTCTAAAAGACCAAAGTTGTAGGTCTCTTCAACAGCTTTCTAACAAATCTTAAATCACCTCATTCTCTAAAAGACCAAAGTTGTAGGTCTCTTCAACAGCTTTCTAACAAATCTTAAATCACCTCATTCCGACTTTGTACGGAGAAATTATAGCGGAAACAATAATATAAACTAACATGGTGTAGATTAGAACTAACAAAACAGGGGCTAGGACTAACATGACATAAATTAGAACTAACATGACATAAGTTAGAACTAATATGGCATAAACTGGTTATTTACTATCTGATGCCGTTCGAATATGGAAAAGCTCAAAAGACCAAAGTTGTAGGTCTCTTCAATTGCTTTCTAACAAGTCTTAAATCACCTCATTCTGAGTTCGGACAGAGAAATTGCAGCAAAACAACAATATAAATTACGGCTTTCCAACAAGTCTTAAATCACATATAGTTTACATTGTTGTTTTTACTGTAATTTCTCCGTCCGAACTCGGAATGAGGTGATTTTAGATTTGTTGGAAAGCCGTTGAAGAGACCTACAACTTTGGTATTTTGAGCTTTTTCAGATTCGAACGGAATCAGATAGTAAATGACCATTTTGTGTCATATTAGTTCTAACTTATGCCATGTTAGTTCTAACTTATGCCATGTTATTCCTAACCCCTATTATGTTAGTTCTAATCTACACCATGTTAGTTTACATTGTCGTTTTCGCTGTAATTTCTACGTCCAAAGTCGGAATGAGGTGATTTAAGATTTGTTGGAAAGCTGTTGAAGAGACCTACAACTTTGATCTTTTAGATTTTTTCAGATCTTACATACAGTTTGTGTAATGTTAGTTTACATTATTATTTTCCCTGTAATTTCTCCGAACTCGGAATGAGGTGATTTAAGACTTGTTGGAAAGCCGTTGAAGAGACCTACAACTTTGGTCTTTTGAGCTTTTCCAGATTCGAACGGTATCAGATAGTAAATGACCAGTTTGTGCCATGTTAGTTTTTAACTTATGTCATGTTAGTCCTAGCCCCTGTTATGTTAGTTCTAAATTCTAATCTATACCATGTTAGTTTACATTGTTGTTTTCACTGTAATTTCTCCGTCCAAAGTCGGAATGAGGTGATTTAAGATTTGTTAAAAAGCTGTTGAAGAGAACTACAACTTTGTTTTTAGACTTTTCCAGATCTTACATACAGTTTGTGCCATGTTAGTTTATATTATTGTTTTCACTATAATTTCTCCATCCGAACTCGGAATGAGGTGATTTAAGACTTGTTGGAAAGCCGTTGAAGAGACCTACAACTTTGGTGTTTTAATCTTTTGTAGATTCGAACGGTATCAGATAGTAAATGACCAGTTTGTATCATTTTAGTTCTAACTTATGTCATGTTAGTTCTAACTTATGCCATGTTAGTTCTAGCCCGTCTCATGTTAGTTCTAGCTAGTTCTAGCTCTAATTTATCTTAATTCTAGGTTTTTGGGCTTTCAAGTTAGTTCTAACTTACCTCATGTTAGTTCTAGCCCGCCCCATGTTAGTTCTAGCCCGCTCTATGTTAGTTCTAGCTAGTTCTAGCTCTAATTCATCTTAGTTCTAGGCTCTTGGAAATGGAGAAAAACTCCTCCCACTTTTGGCGGAGCCCGTCGAGATACCTCGACGACCCCGGCAACCTCCTCCCACCTCCGGCAAGCCCGGACAGCGGCTAAAAGCTCCGAACAGTGAAGAACAAACCCAAACGACGAGAAATTACACTGCAGAAAACTGCAGTTTTGTGCCAACTTCACACGCACTTCCCGATCACCTCCAATCTCTGTTTTCGCTGATTTCTTCTTTGGTGAGTAACCCTACATGTTGTCTATCACCTCTAATTTGTATCACTCTCTAACTCATTCTCTATCTCTCTCACTAACGTCTGAAACATCGCTCGACGACAGCAACGAGCAGAAAACAACAGCGCCGTGCCGACTTCGCGCACGTTTTTCGCCCACCTCCGGTCTTTGTTTTCACCACCGTCTTCGCCGGTGTGTAGCCCTTTATATTGTCTATCACACGGTATCTTCCTTTCACTCTTCGCCGGTGTGTAGCCCTTTATATTGTCTATCACACGGTATCTTCCTTTCACTTGGGCTTATTTTCTACCTCTCGTTATAGCCCTTTATATTGTCTATCACACGGTATCTTCCTTTCACTTGGGCTTATTTTCTACCTCTCGTTATATCGTTTCGAATATTATTAGTTCTAACTTGCCCAACTAGCTAGAACTAACATGGGACGTGCTAGAACTAACATGGGGCTGGTTAGAACTAACATGAGGCAAGTTAGAACTAACTTTAGAGCATAAGAGCTTAGAACTAAGATGAATTAGAGCTAAAACTAGTTAGAACTAACACGGAGCGGACTAGAACTAATATGGGACCTGTTAGAACTAACATGAGGCAATTTAGAACTAACTTGAGAGGCCAAGAGCCTAGAACTAACTTGAGAAAAGCTCCTCCCACATTCGACGGAGCCCACCGAGATACCCCGATGACCCCGACAACCTCCTCCCACCTCTGGCAAGCCCGGACAGCGGCGAAAAGCTCCGAACAGCGAAGAAAAAACCCGAACGGCGAGAGATTGCACTGCAGAAAACTGCAGTTTTGTGCCGACTTTGCATGCACCGTTATAAACCTAAGAAATAGTATGTATTTATTGAAAAGTTTTCCTATGTTGCATGAATAGGAACCCCCACAGAACCGCCCCCACGGAGGGCAGATTTTATCCTGGAGATGAGGAGGAAAAGTTACCAACTTACTTCCGTAACTTTCCCATGTGTAGACATGAACCACCCGCCCGCATGAGTAAGGCTTTAAGGGATTATAGTGTTGAAAACAAGCTACACCGTCTGTTTGGTGGAAAGTTTGTAATAACAAAGTTGAAAGAATTAAATTTGATTTTATTCTCTCTAACTGCTTAGAAAAAGAATGTTTACAATTCTCTCAATTTCTAACTGATTACAATTTGAATTTTCGATTACAAAAGAGAAGAAGATCGACAGAGATATTCTCATTTGTTTAAGTCTGGGTTCTTCACGGTAACCCACGGTGGCGATGAGATGCCTCCCTCGACGTTTGTATCGAGTTATGCTTCTTGTTGACGATCCGACCACCTTGCTTTGTGGAACGTGGTTGATTCCTCTTGATTGACGTTGAGGAGAACTTGCGTGATAAGTTTGAAACTCTTGACGAGTTGATAACTCAGAGCGAGTTTAAACTCTTGAAAAAGAGTTGATTTGAATCGAAAATCGGTTAATAAGCCAATGATGAAAGCTCCAAGGACTGCTCCGCAAGATGAATGTCGATCTTTTAATCTTTTTGTTGCCGAAAGAGGATGAATTGGTGATCCCCTTTGCTGATCTCTAGATCCGAAAATACTCAAAGATCCAAAGATCGCAAAAAGCCAGCCCCTCACTCAGTTGAGTTTTTTGTGATTTATAAGGGATTAAGGGGTGTAACCATTCCCTTAAATTTCTCCTTAATGAGGGTTTAATATGGTGTAACCGTCCCCTATAAATCTCTCCATGATAGGGAGATGATCCCCTTAAATCGTGAGAGAGAAAACGGTTTCTGGAACCGTTCAACTCGTGTTTGAATGAGTCAAATGTTGAAAACGGCGTTCTAGGCCCGAACTCTACGTTTTAGATCTGAAACACAGAGTTGGGCATTTCCGGTTGGCTCAAAATGTAGTGGCTGCACCGCTTTAAGAGTCTGAGACGCAGGAATGAACTATGCGTTTGGATCTGGAACACAGAGTTGGGTTCTGCATTTTGGGCTGAAAACGCAGCAATGAAGTCTACGTTTGGATGTTGCAACGTAGGGAGGACCTCTGCGTTTTGATGTTGAAACGCAGGTCTGACCTCTGTGTTTTGATGTGAAGAGACCATCATCATCTTGTAATCTTCTTCTTTGCTCCTTGAAAATATGAGAGTCGTCAGATTGTAACTCCCGATATTGATTGTGAAGGTTGTTGATGAGAGCTTTCATCAGTTGTTACGAATGTCGTCAGATTGTAATCTTCATCGATCTACGTGAAAGTTTTTAAATTGTAGCATTCTGGAAGGCGTCAAATTATAACTTTGATCATCGGTGTTTGATGGGGGATCAACTATTTGCAGTGATTTTTAGACAACCTACACCGTTATATATACATTTGCTGATCTTCAATATTACATTTATAGTTTGAAGATCAGCTAATGTATATGTGAAGATCAACATGTTATAAATATTCGTGATTAATCCATAGAGATTAAACAATTAGAACAAGAGCGGAAGCTATACCTGAATCAATTGCTTGGATTTGAATTAGCGTTTTTTATGTCTTCTAATCTTAGGAAGTCTGAGACGTAGGAATGATCTCAATTCTCCGCCGCCTCCGCCTCTCGGTAGGTTTCGACTTTGCCATAACTTGTCCGTCCTAATTTCCCCTTCTTTGCTTCGGTAAGATCTCTCCCTAACTACTCCTTGCTTTTGCCCTTGTAGTGAGTTATTGTTGTATTTTTAATGTCTAGAAATTAGGATTTTGAGGGATTTTGGTCGTGACTACGACAATATGGGGAGAGCTTTTTCTACAATGAAGTTGAGAAAGAGCTAGTTGCGGAATAAAATAAGTGATGATTTGGTACTATTACTAATGATGAGATTATGTACTTTTTTTCAAAATATTGGAAGTTGTCGGGGATAATTGTAAATTTTTTAATTATTAATAAAATTATATAGTGACACAATTTTTCAAAAATTTTGGACCAGTCACCGGTAGCATGGCGAAGCAATATTCCATTGAAAATTTTATACCCTATTCTTTCTCTTATTCCTATAAATAATTGTGAGGTGTCGATTAGAACAACGCTATCGGAACAAAACAAATACAAAATTTATCAGAACATTCCTCTTACAAAATGGAGTTTCTGAATCATGAAGACTTACAATTAATTTTCTCGAATTGTTATACAAATTATCTTTTTACCCTCGCTTATGCGATCGGTTGTTTGAAACCCCGAGGGTACAACAGTAAATCAAGGATTCGGGGAACTGACATGCACTAATGTGTTCGGTTCAACCGCTGCAGCGAAGCCCCGAAGCTAAGGGCATCTCCAACGCAGAAGCAAAATGCCGCTGCGTTGAATTGTTCGAGCTCCAACCGTGCCGCATTTTTTACGGCACTTTGGAGGAGATGAACAGTGTGACGCCAAATATAGCGCTGCACTGTTCATCCGGGTTATTATTGTGCATTGTTTTAAAATTTTTTATTTTTTACCTCTTAATTATTATAAAAGTAGATAAAAGGGAATAAACTGAGAATATTCTTTTTTTGTGTAAAAAATGATGCAATTGGTTAGAGATGTATTACTGTTTGATGTAATTTTTGTGCTATTTTGATGCAAAATTTGCACCATTTTGATGCAATAGGTTGGAGATGATCTAACTCTACCGCTTGGGTTATGTTGTTCCCAATATGGCGTGTAAGCTAACGTGTGACGCAGACATTGTTACGTACGCTCTTTTGTTCTCTTGCTTTATTATTAGATTCCAACAAGATCTTGCATTTATTTTGATTAGGAGACATAAATTCTGTAGTGCAATGAATGTGGGTCAATCGATGTCGATCCCCTAAAAGGTGTTTAGCCATATTCATGTTTTACCTTGCTATTTTCTTCCGTATTTTCCAAATTTAACTATTGTTTTGAAAAAAGGTTATTGCTACAGGGACCCCAAAATAGGGGACTTCTGAGAGGACAGGTGATATGTCAGCCACTGGGGAACAGTGCATCAAGTCCTCAAGGGCTGACACATCACCTGTCCCCTCAGGGGTCCCCTGTTTTGGGGTCCCTGAGGAGTTTTCCTTTGAAAAGGCATGCGTACATCACACGTTTCACTTGAATTATTCCTTTCACCTTTTATGCTAAAATTAACCATATAAGTTTTTTTATGCACATTAACTTGTTATAGATGATTGTACGATACAACAGCATAGCTGAATTTTTCTTTTTATTGAAAAGAGATGACGAAGGTAGAGAGTTCCCAGACATATATAACTGTCTGACAAATTGAAATAGGCAATAAAGGAAATAACATCATACATGATCCACACACCAATTCAATAGATGGATCTTCAAGGACAGAGTCATTATATAGTAGCACAAGTATTGCAATGCTTAAGGAATATACATATTTATCTATTCTTCTATATTTATAGAAGGATTCAAAGATTACTATTCATACTACAGTAAATTACTATAGTATTATTAGCCTGACAGAATCAATATAGCACAATTAGAATACTGTAATATTTAGGAGAAAAACTATACTATAACATTTAAAAAAGAATTACATTTGACGAAAATAAAAAAATGGGTCCATGGTTTACACAGGGTCCATGCTAGTTTTGATAAATTGCAAAATATTATATAAGATGCTCATCTAATGAAAACAAACTGCACGGCGCACGGCGAACTCCACGAACCGAATCCATCCTCTAACACGTCATCA